AGCGCCTGTGGATCAAGTGAGAGTCTGGATGAGTCTGAGTTTCTTTCGCTGGGTCAGAGAACCTCAGACTGGGAGACCGCCAAGATGTGAGAAAAGCTCTTGACCTTCGCTCTTAAGCTCTTTTTGCCCACATGTCTTTCTTGATGAAGCACAGCTCTTTTTGTGAGATGTTGCTGGAACTGCCAGTGGAACTTCCAAAGACAAGCCAACCTCATAGCAAAAGGAACCTAAGAACAATGGCCCCCAACCTACTAATTAGCGATGGCCTCCAACCTAGGAGTGATGGCCTCCAACCTAAGAGCAATGGCGGAACCTAAGATGCAAGGCATTCGGTGACATTTAGTACATTTGCCGTATCGCCAACTGTCAAGCAGACCATACCCGCCCTACACTTTACATTAGCTTCATTGCAGATTTTAGGCCCCCAAAACGATTCAAACGAGCGAAAAAGGTCCTAGCTGAAGATATGAGTCCGAAGCAATGCTGGGTGAAAGAAGTGCCTTGTTCACCTGTGCGTCGTAGGCCATTTTGGTTCTGCGCGTCAATCCATGTGAACCATGTCAACTCAGATCTGTCATGAACAACATGACTCTCGGATGGTCTTTTTTCAAAACGGCTGTACTTCCTGTGCTTGTTTGCTAATCCGATTTTCCACTTGCACTCAACGTAGAAGCCTTGACGCCAATGACAATCTTAGATGAGCCAAATTGCCAACAGGACATGCTTTCATGGCTTCGAGCAGATTTGCAGCCACTGAAAGCATTCTTTGCTGTTTTCAAGGATCCCGAAAGCGTGTTCTATGTGCATGCAGGCCAGAAGAACGACGACTGTCCGCTTTTCGATGTGTTTTGTGTAGTGTTTCGATCACAAGGTTTCATTGATAGTTCCATGTTCTCATGATTTTCTGGGATGTACTTCGAGCTAACTTGCGAGAGAATGCGCACTCCCCCCAAGTTTCTCTAGCAGTCACGCTTCGAACAGTGCAAAATAGAACATGCTGAAACAGACGTTTGCACATCGATATTAATAGGTTGGAGGCCATTGCTATTTGTAACTTAAGACGATGATGTCTTCTTCTCCCTGGCCTGTTGGTTCGTTTGCATCCCTGAAGCTTGCTCATGATCTGTTGGCAGGAACAGGCTGGGGATCTTTCCCCGAGGTTGCTGAGCACTTGTTTGTTTATTACATGACCTGGTTGCTGAGCTTGTGACGTGGTTTGGAATCTTAAAGCCTGATTACATAGGAGTGATAGTACAAAGCAACCTTTTGCCAAAGTAGTTGAGGAGAGACCTGATGAGACCTGCAAGCAGCATGTAGCGTGACCGGACCAAGGCTGCTGCCACAAACAATTCATCAGGGCCAGCACCAAAGATCGACACTCAGTGACACGATGTCTCTCATCCGTCGCTATTAGTAACAAGTGCATCGCTTCTAGTAACAAGTGCCTTACTAG